AACATTTTAATAACAGAATAATCAGAGAAGCCATCGAGATAGAAAACGCCCACACAGCATGAACAAGCGAGATGATACCTCCCGCCTACCAGCCATTTGGAAACCCGCCCTTATTGACAAACGACTCCATAACCCCAAAATCTTAAACCCCTCTGCAACTCAGACTAACCTGAGCACAACCAAACGAACACTCCCCCAGCCAATCAGAGCACAGCCAAGCCCCTAACCATTCAGAACACACCTCCACCCAATCAGAACACAGCCAAGCTCCCACCCAATCAGTTCATATCCCCACTGGCAGTTAAAAGGAAGAAACAGCTAAGACCACACATTGCTGCTCAAAGCAAGAAGCTGAAAACACCAGCCTGAAGATGACGAATGGGACTTTGTCGAAACGTCGCCAAGACACTTCCAATTTTACGCGGGAGAAAACCCGAACAACCAAAGACCTATATATATATCTATCTATATCTATATCTATATCTATATCTATATCTATATATATTTACAACGGCACTGAAAAAACTGATTTATGAACGTTTTTCACAGTTAACGGCTTTTGCAGCATCCCCATTATGACCGCATCATCAAAATTCAGACGCTTGCCAACCGGTTCATATTTATGACCGTTGCGGTGTCCCCGGGGTGTGTGTGTGTGTGTCACGCGATCCCCTTCTACGACTTTCTGATAAGGAAAGTCAATGGGGAAGCCGGATTCATTAACTAATTTAACAACGGAAGCAAGAAAATAGGGCAAAATTCACTTCACCAATGTCTCACTTAGCAACGGAAATTTCGCGTCGTATGTCGAAGATGCCGGTATGGGAACTACATAGCAATCTTCCAGCTGTAGAATGATCTGCCAAATTCTAAGAAGTGTGTGTGTGTGTGTGTGTGTGTATGTGTGTGTGTGTGTGTGTAAAAGGAAATAATCATTGCATTTTCTCTGCAAGATAGGATACTGCCTTATCACTTCCACATTCCAGATCTTGGACACAGCTAAGCAAAGAATTCTTTGTTTAAGGCTTCCTAGCAAGTATCTATCTGGGATGAAAAGTACATTTAGAATTTTATCTCTAAACAGCGCCTTGTCTAGATATTCAGCTGAGTCATTTGTTTGTTTGAAAAATGTCGGTCTTCAAGTTTTCTACTCGCAAAGCAACCTGCAGATTCTTTTTAAAATAACCGAACCCACATTAGTATTAAATTCCAAAGGGGATGGGAAAAGAGATCAAATAACAGACGACACGAGCTCTCCATGTACCGAGAGGCAGGACAAAAGCAAATAAAAATGATGAACAGTGCAATCAATAATGACATTGATTTAGAGTAAATTATATCTAATTGAGCGATAGCTCCATGGGTCAAGGGTCCTACGATAAAAACAAAAAAAAATAGGTGAAAGCAAACACTAGAACAAAGGGAAGACAAAAGTATTTGTCAGTAAGGGAAAAATTATGGTGCCTTCAGTTATATATTCTTTGATTGAGTCATAACTTAACAGTGTATCATATGCTAAGAGAGCCAACTTTGGTGTAGTGGTTAAAGCACCAGGTGAGAAAACAGAAGGTGGCGAGTTCTAGTCCTGCCTTAAGTATGAAAGCTGGCTGGGTGATTTTGGGCCAATCACCAGGAGACGGTGAGTTCTAGTTCTGCCTCAGGTATATAAGCTGGCTGGGTGACTTTGGGCCAATCACCAGGAGACGGTGAGTTCTAGTCCTGCCTCAGGTATAAAAGCTGGCTGGGTGACTTTGGGCCAATCACCAGGAGACGGTGAGTTCTAGTCCTGCCTCAGGAATGAAAGCTAGCTGGGGGACTTTGGGCCAATCACCAGGAGACGGTGAGTTCTAGTCCTGCCTCAGGAATAAAATCTGGCTGGGGGACTTTGGGCCAATCACCAGGAGACGGCGAATTCTAGTTCTGCCTTAGGGATGAAAGCTGGCTAGATGACCTTGGGCCAGTTTCTCTCTCTCAGCCCAACCCACCTCACAGGGTTGATGTTGCGGGGAAAATAGGAACAGGAAGGTATGTTGGATACATTCGATGCCTTGAGATTTTTTTAAAACAATAAAGGTGGGATACCAACAACACAAATAAATAGAAATAAATAAATAAGGGAAGGGTTTCTCAGACTTCCTAGGAGGGGAAAAAAGTTCCTTTTTGGGGGGGCTAATGAGAGAGGGGAGCAAGGAGCGAAAATGGAGAGCAGCAGAGTTTTTTGGTTGTCAGGAGTGCGCAGTGATGCAAGATGAGCAAAGATCACAGGAAAGGAAGCGTTGGATGAAAGCACCGAAAAGATAAGGTTACCGAGGTTTTTGGAAATGAGGACATACCCTATACCATTTCAGACAAATGGCTGTCCAGTCTCTTCTTAAAAACTTCCAGGGTTGGAGCATTCACTGCTTCTGGAGGCAGGTTGTTCCACTGGTTAATTGTTCTCACTGTCAGGAAATTCCTCCTTAGTTCTAGGTTGCTTCTCTCCTTGATTAATTTCCATCCGTTGCTTCTTGTCCTGCCTTCAGGCGCTTTGGAGAATAGCTTGACTCCCTCTTCTTTGGGGCAGCCCCTGAGATATTGGAACACTGCTATCATGTCCCCCCTCGTCCTTCTCTTCATTAAACTAGACATACTCAATTCCAGCAACCGTTCCTTATATGTTTTAGCCTCCCGTCCTCTAATTATCTTTGTCGCTCTTCTCTAAACCTATGTTTTATTTTCTGGCATGAAAGATTGCTATTCTACATTCAATCCTGCTTATTTGTATTATTTATATGACTAATTCAGTCCAGGAGAACGTCTGTGTACACACCCTTAATGCACCAACACTATCCAATTTTTTGGATGGCCTTGCATTTCTTTTCTCTGAAATTTCCAGGTGTCAATGCTCCTCACATCCAATGTTTTTTGCATTGACAACAGATGGAAATGTAGCCATCTTTTACCTTTTGCTTTTAGAGTTAGATAATGCTGGGGAGGGGGGATGTGAACGTGAGTCCGGCTAGACCTAACAACACTAAACCTAGCGTGAGAAACAAGGTTATTGTCACCAGAGCTGATAAGGAATTGGTGGGCTGGAGAACTGGAGAGGAAGCCCGTGCTTCAAGCTAATTGGGGGATGTGATTTATGATGGTTAATTGGAGGAGGGAATTGTGCTTTGATACTACGTGCTCGGGGAGGGGAATTCAGTTTTTGGCTTCAATTACGCAGTGCCGAGGTTATGCTGCTCAAAATAAAGATTCTTTAAGGTAAACAATGCCTCGAAGTTCTTTTGAAGAGTTTCATCTGTCGGAACCATGATAACAGGAAGGAGAAGAGATAATGGTGCACAATCTGAAGGTGTGATTAGCCAGACTAACGAGGTAGCAGATCCCATCAGCAGTCTAATAAACTCCAGATAATCACTTACAAATGGGGCGGTGAAGTTCTAGATCCAGAGCGATAGGGATTTAAGAAAGAGCCTTTGAAGCAGCATAAAATTGACGAAAGGATATCGTCCAGCCTGGACCGGTGAACCCAGCTTTAACCCTGGTAAGAATACGTGGAAGCTAAGCCGCACCAGAATCAGGAAACGGGGTCCTATCTGTTGTGATTCTGTGCCAGCCTGTGCTCCCAACAGCGGAGTCTGAGGAATCTGAGGAGGAGGTGGCTTCCAAAATAGTCAAGCCCCCCACTTTGGATGACTCATCAATATTTGTGAACACAAACTGCACAAATACTGGAAAATGAATCTTTTACTTCTGCGAGCAGCTCTCGAATTTCCAGACGGCTTTCCGTTCAGGAGGGGGCCTGATTTATTGTAGGAAAAAAAAAGAATTCAAGGAGCTACATGATGGGGGAAAGCTGAAAATGTACGAAGGAAGCTTTACGCGTTATGCATTTTTTTTAAAAAAAAAAAAACGACAACAACACACCATAGATAACTCTAAGAGCAGGGTTTTCATGCGTGTATCTGACTGCTGATCCAGAGATTGTGTTAACTGTCAGACATGACTTCCTAACAGGAAGGTGACGAACAAAAGACCCTCGCAACAGGCATATTGGATTTAGCTTTCACAGCTCGCGTTGAATTCTCCAGCAAATAATTTTGCTGAAAGATCTTCCGGCTGCAAAATACAGCCAGATAAAATGGGGATGCAACAGTCAGACCGCCCCCCCCCCCAAGGAACAGGGACTAAACAGAATTCTTGGCAAAATGTCGTTGTTCAGTTTGCAGCAATGGTGATTTCCCATGAAGATTATATTTCCCGCTGCAAAGACTTTCCTTATCATCCGATCTAGGACTTGTACAGATAGGCTAATGTCATGCCCCTTTGAATATTGTTGTCCTTTTATAAGAACTGGAGATACCTATCATCACCACCTGCTCACAAATTTGTGGTTGCTCATCATATTCAGAAATCATGTGCTGTAATATATATATATATTAGTAGTGATAGCAGTAGTGATAGCAGTGTTTCAATCTTTGATGGGCTGCCACAAAGAAGAGGGGTCAACTTATTTTCCAAAGCACCAGAAGGCAGGACAAGAAGCAACGGATGGAAACTCATCAAGGAGAGAAGCAACTAGAACTAAGGAGAAATTTTCTGACAGTGAGAACAATTAACCAGTGGAACAACCTGCCTCCAGAAGTTGTGGGTGCCCCATCCCTGGAAGTTTTTAAGAAGAGACTGGACAGCCATTTGTCCGAAATGGTGTAGAGTTTCCTGCCTGAGCAGGGGGTTGGACTAGATGACCTCCAAGGTCCCTTCCAACTCTGTTATTGTATTGCATTGCATTGCATTCTATTCTATTCTATTCTATTCTATTCTATTCTATTCTATTCTATTCCTCTTCCATATTCTATTCTATTCTATTCTATTCTATTCTATTCTGTTCTTATTCCATTTCACATTCTATTCTACTCTATTCCATTCTATTCTATTCTATTCTATTCTATTCTATTCTATTCTATTCTATTCTATTCTATTCTATTCTATTCTTATTCCATTCCACATTCTATTCTATTCTATTCTATTCTATTCTATTCTATTCTATTCTATTCTATTCTATTCTATTCTATTCTATTCTATTCTGTTATTCTGATGGACATGGCACTTCTAGTAAATCAACATATGATGGATACACAGGAACCAAGCAGCTACCTCCACAGCAGATGGAAGCCAGGGTGAATTCAGATCTGGCAAGGTCAGCGATGGGATCGGGGCCAACGTACACCGACACCCGATGCTGGATGGAGAAACACACACCCCCCCCGTCCTTTGTTTTTAAAAGAATAACCCGGATCCCTTTCAATATTTGCTTTTGAAATTCCTTGGCACAGACGCAGCACCAGTACCAGTAAAAGAGAAATCACAACAACACAAAACCACAAAGGAGGTCACGGAACTGGGAGAAAATGTTTCGGTGACATTCAGAGTTCTTTAGCAATCCAGCTCTGAGCTTCTGCTGAATCCTTTCAAAGTGATGGCAAGCGTGATTTTAAAGGAGAACCATAAGTTGAACCGAAGGCAGCCAAGCAGTAAGTTACAACAATAACAATGACAACAGCAACGACAACAGCCACAACAAAGTTACATCTTTGAACTATTCCTCCAAGCGCAGCTGAGAAAGTCTGACTATGAATCATTTGTTTATTGTGGCACATACTAGGAACATAACTTAGTGAAGTTGTTATTGTAGCGAGACAAAATGGGTAACTACGATACGCATACTGATGCTATGTTACCTGCCTTTATTTTAAATTATTTTAGATTTCTATCCTGCTGGATTTAATCAGACTCTTGGTTCCTTACCGACAAGATAAAGCACCATGCTTTTTTAAAAAAAAAAAAAAAATACTAGCAAATCAAGAGCAGCAAAATGCAATCAAACATCTCATAACATGTAAAACTCCGAACAAGCTGGCATTGCAACACAAACCTGCTAGAAAGGCTGTCTCTAATGTGTGCCATTGTGCAGGTAACCAAGATAGGAGCTGGTCTGACCTCAAAGGGGAGGCTGTTCTAAACAGCTGGTGTTGGCCCTGAAAAATAAGAAATTCTTTCTTGAGTTCACTAATATGACAAGGGTGGGATTGCTAAATTCAACTTCCATCCCCTAGAGCAGGGTATTTTTCAAACTTGGCCCTTTTGTGACTGGTGGACTTCAACTCCCAGAATTCCTCAGCCAGCATATCTGGCTGAGGAATTCTGGGAGTTGAAGTCCACCAGTCATCGAAGGGCCAAGTTTGAATATCCCTGCCCTAGAGACAATAAGCTATGTGGGGCCCTTGGTGCTGTTTGACCTTGGTGGTTCTCTTGCAGATGTTTCATTACCAAACTGGATAACATCATCCGCGGTAGAAACCCTACTTCCTTTTAGCACTGATGATGTTCTCTAGTTGGGTAATGAAACGTCTGCAAGGATAACCCCAAGCTTAGATAGCACCAAGAACCGCACAGATCAACCCTGAACTTCTGTCGGTACAATAAACCATTTAATCCCAAATAAAGGTGCAATCTCAAGAGTCACGATTTTAGATTGGATAACCCTTATTGTCATTTTCCCCCCCCTGTGGGCACAATGGCACACATTAGAAATGAAATTTAGTTGCTTCCTCTCAAAGTGTGTTGTTGTTAGTTGCGAAGTCGTGTCCGACCCATCACGACCCCATGGACAACCTTCCTCCAGGCCTTCCTGTCCTCTACCATCTTCTGGAGTCCCTTTAAGCTCACGCCTACTGCTTCAGTGACTCCATCCATCCATCTCATTCTCTGTCGTCCCTTTCTTCTATTGCCCTCCATCTTTCCCAGCATCAGGCTCTTCACCAGTGAGTCCTTCCTTCTCATTAGGTGGCCAAAGTACTTGAGTTTCAACTTCAGGATCTGGCCTTCTAAAGAGCAGTCGGGGTTGATCTCCTCTAGGACTGACCGGTTTGATCGCCTTGCAGTCCAGGGGACTCTCAGGAGTCTTCTCCAGCACCATAGTTCAAAGGCCTCCATTCTTTGGCGCTTGGCCTTTCTTATGGTCCAACTTTCACAGCCATATATTGCAACTGGGAAAACCATGGCCTTGACTATATGTATTTTTGTTGGCAGGGTGATGTTACATAACACACATTTAAAACATACTACATGCAACGTATGTATAGACCTATACCCTTACCTATAAGTAACATAGAAATATTATTCACTGTCCATCTTAAATACATAATACTGAAATATTTTTTAATACTGAAATTGCAATTTCTACATTTCACTACTTACATCATGGCCCGGAGCGACATTTGCCTTCGGTGCTCCAAAATCTCTTGATTTTGCAACGTTTGTTTACCACTGTTTTCGGGCCTGGCATCAGATGATTTTTGCAATACTAAGTTTTCTTTCTTCCCAGCCCAGGGGAATGTTGGAAAGAAATGCAATATCAAAGAGGCACCGGACTCTGTCCATCAGCAACATAATTCTAGAAACAGAACAAAAGAAATAAAGAAATAAAAGAACCAAATTTGGCCTGGTGGAAAAAGCCAGTAAAAATAAGCTCAAGTTCCAAAATAGGTTGGATTCAACAAGGGGTTGCAAAGGAAAAAAAAAATCTAGAAAAACTGTCTTAAGGTGCCCAACAGTTGTTTGTGATGATCAATGAAGACATGGGTTCTGGTTTGTGTCTTAATCACTGGCAGTGTGTGAAATTTATCTGCATTTTTGAAATCTCATTTAATAAAGTAATAATCATGGGTACTTTCATTTATCTTAAAGTTTGATACTGGATAGAGTTTGCAATGAGAGTCAGTTTGGACTAGTGGTAAAGGCACCAACATAGAAACCAGGAGGTTAGGAGTTCAAGTCCCGCCTTAGCCATGAAAGCTGGCTCTTTTTTGTCCCTCTCTTTTAGTTAGAATAATCAGTCAGTGGAACGACTTGCCTCCAGAAGTTGTGGATGCTCCAGCACTGGAAGTTTTAAAGAAGAGATTGGACAACCATTTGTCTGAAATGGTATAGGGTTTCCTGCCTGAGCAGGGGATTGGACTAGAAGATCTTCAAGGTCCCTTCCAACTCTGTTATTCTATTCTATTCTATTCTATTCTATTCTATTCTATTCTATTCTATTCTAATTTCCATTTTCTATTCTATTCTAATTTCCATTTTCTATTCTATTCTATTCTATTCTAATTTTCATCTTCTATTCTTCTAATTTTCATTTTCTATTCTATTCTATTCTATTCCATTCTATTCTATTCTATATTTCCTATTCTATTCTATTCCATATTTCCTATTCTATTCTATTCTATTCTATTCTATTCTATTCTATTCTATTCTATTCTATTCTATTCTATTCCATATTTTCTATTCTATTCTATTCTACTCTATTCTATATTTCCTATTCTATTCTATTCTATTCTATTCTATTCTATTCTGTTCTGTTCTGTTCTGTTCTGTTCTGTTCTGTTCTATTCTATTCTATTAACCCAGCTCACCTCACAGGATTTTTTTTGTTGTTGTGGGGAAAATAGGAGGAGAAAGATCTGATGGATATGGTTCTCACCTTAAGATAGTGTAAAAAGAAAAATAAGGCCAGGATATAAATAAATAGATAGATAAATAAATAAATAAATAAATTTATGAAAGAATAGACCAGTGGATCTATCTATTCTACAATATTTCTATATATAATTTGCAGTTCGGCTATGTGTCCCTGAGTAGCTTTCCTTCGATGGCTGGATCCTGTCTTTTGCCTTCATCAGGAGCGTGAATGCTACCGGTGTGGTAGCGATAACACCACAATAATTACATAATAATTCAATGTTTCTCATTGAAACTCAAGTATTTTGGCTAATGAGAAGGAAGGACTCCCTGGAGAAGAGCCTGATGCTGGGAAAGATGGAGGGCAAAAGAAGAAGGGGACGACAGAGAATGAGATGGCTGGATGGAGTCACTGAAGCAGTAGGCGTGAGCTTAAATGGACTCTAGAAGATGGGAGAGGACAGGAAGGCCTGGAGGAACGTTGTCCATGGGGTCGCGATGGGTCGAACACGACTTCGCAATTAACAACAACGTTTCTCACTAACCTAAGGTTCTGCGTTAAACAGAAAATGCTCAACAGACGTTGCTTATAGAATGGCGCATATTTTTAACAAAAAATAAAAATAAAAAACAAAGCTCAAACATTTTCCAATTCAAAGACACCCACATCCTATTTCTGCTGATCCAAGCCACAACCATCAGTTTTATCTTGAAGTTAACTGAGTTACTCGGAAAGCTGCCGGTCTCCTTTGACCTTAGAACTGCATTTACAAAAAAAAAAAAAAAAAAAACTGTTGGCCTTGAAAGGTTGCTGACATAGGCAACGTTTGTGTGGATTGAAAAAAGACAGCAAATTCTCCAGTAAACACCTTGAAAGGTTTGTGCCTTGTTGTGTCAGAGGTCTGAACGGCTGCAGAATCAGCAGTTTGGAGAGACTCGCAGCCACAGGAGAAAAGAAAAAAAGAAAAGAAAAGAAAAGAAAAGAAGGGAAGGGAAGGGAAGGAAAGGAAAAGAAGGAAAGAAGAAAGAAACACAGATAATTGGAAAGGAAAGGAAAGGAAGAAAGGAAAGGAAAGAAGGGAAGGGAAGGAAAGGAAAGAAGGAAAGGAAAGGAAAGAAGAAAGAAACACAGATAATTGGAAAGGAAAGGAAAGGAAAGGAAAGGAAAGGAAGGGAAGGGAAGGAAAGATAACTATTAGTGAGAAAAAAAATAACTTTTTGTGACTTCTTTCCCATTTTCCACTGCGGTCTGTTTTACTTGTATTGTTCCACTGAGGAATTCTGAATTAGACATACAATGCATATTTGTTTTGTTTTGTTATGAAACAATAGGCAATAGTATCCAAAGGCTTCCAAAAACAATTATTTGATGAAGGATGAAAAAACATCTCTGCTCTTCCAAAGTCAGACATTAAGCAATGTCAGGACCTCTATGGTATCCTTGCTCTTGCTCTTAAGTTAAACTTAAAATAACCAAGACATTAAAAAGAAAAGGAATACCAAAACTCTCACAAGACGCTGAAATGCACATGATTCAGGCAACTGTGTTCAAAACCTTGCAACAGCTGGCACGAAGCTCCAAAACCTCAAGGTCTTTCAAGGAAGGGAAGGAGGGAGGGAAGGAGGAGAAGAAAGGGAGGGAGGGAAGGGTGGAAGAGGGAGGAAGGAAAGAAAGAAAAGGAGAAGATGGAAGGAAGGGAAGGAAGGGAAGAGAAGGTCGGAGGGAGGAAAGGAGGGAGGGGTGGAAAAGGAGGGTGGAAGGAAAGAGAGAAAAGGAGAAGATGGAAGGAAGTGAAGGAGGGAAGGAAAGGTCGGAGGGAGAGAGGGAGGGAGGGGTGGAGAAGGAGGGAGGAAGGAAAGAGAGAAAGGGAGAAGATGGAAGGAAGTGAAGGAGGGAAGGGAAGAGACAGTCGGAGGGAGAGAGGGGTGGAGAAGGAAGGAGGAAGGAAAGAGAGAAAAGGAGAAGATGGAAGGAAGTGAAGGAGGGAAGGGAAGGTCGGAGGGAGAGAGGGAGGGAGGGGTGGAGAAGGAGGGTGGAAGGAAAGAGAGAAAAGGAGAAGATGGAAGGAAGTGAAGGAGGGAAGGGAAGGTCGGAGGGAGAGAGGGAGGGAGGGGTGGAGAAGGAAGGAGGAAGGAAAGAGAGAAAAGGAGAAGATGGAAGGAAGTGAAGGAGGGAAGGGAAGAGACAGTCGGAGGGAGAGAGGGGTGGAGAAGGAAGGAGGAAGGAAAGAGAGAAAAGGAGAAGATGGAAGGAAGTGAAGGAGGGAAGGAAAGGTCGGAGGGAGAGAGGGAGGGAGGGGTGGAGAAGGAGGGAGGAAGGAAAGAGAGAAAGGGAGAAGATGGAAGGAAGTGAAGGAGGGAAGGGACGAGGTCAGAGGAAGGAAGGAAGGAAGGAAGGAAGGAAGGAAGGAAGGAAGGAAGGAAGGAAGGGGAGTCCATGCAAGATCTTGTGAAATTTTATTATTCTTGAATCATGATGATGTAAGATGTAGGGCTAAAACTGTGGAGGCTCCGATATGATTTTAGGCTATTACCCAGGATCGTGGAATAGAATTTCAACCCTGGGGGGAAGAAAAAAATCCTTACTTTGAACCAAATGCAAATGATTCTGAAATGCATCCAAATGTTTTCCTGGGTGATGCCAGAGAAAGCACCATTTTGTGCTGGAGGGAAGGAAAACCACGCACACCCATCACTTCACCCTGGATGCAAGAAACATCGTGAGAGTTTTACGAGAAAAATCACGCACAGTTCCCACTTGGTAACCAGGCTACAGCTTGTGGGATGGATTGGTTGACATGCTCGTATATTTCTGGCCAAGTACCTGAGAATGTAGAGTGGAGAACACGGATCATCAAACTTCCAGGTTACATCTGGAAGCTATTAAGGAGCCTGTTGAGCTACGTGCAGTACACACAGGGCTGAAATCTATTCGGCCCAAAATAAAAATGGAGGGTTTTCCTAAGAATAACAGAGTTGGAAGGGACCTTGGAGGTCTTCTAGTCCAACCCCCTACAGAAGCAGGCGATCATATATCACTCTGGACCAATGGCTGTCCAGTCTCTTCTTAAAAACCTCCAGTGATGGAGCACCCACAACTTCTGGAGGCAAGTTGTTCCACCGGTTAATTGTTCTCACTATCAGGATTTATTTTTCTTTTAGTTCTAGGTTGTTTCTGTCCTTGATTAGTTTCCATCCGTTGCTTCTTGTCCTGCCTTCAGGGGCTTTGGAGAAGAGCTTGACTCCCTCTTCTTTGGGGCAACCCTGGAGATATTGGAAGACAGCTATCATGTCCCCCCTCGTCCTTCTCTTCATTAAACTAGACATGCCCAATTCCTGCAACCATTTGTCATATGTTTTAGCCTCCAGTCCCCTGATCATCTTTCTTGCTCTTCTCTGCACTCTTTCTAGAGTCTCAACATCTTTCTTTACATCGTGGTGATCAAAACTGGATGCAGGATTCCAAGTGTGGCCTTACCAAGGGGTTGTAAAGTGGTATTAAACACTTCCCGTGATCTTGATTCTATCCCTCTGTTGATGGAGCCCAGGATTGCATTGGGTTTTTTGACTGCTGCAGCTGGCTCATATTTAAAAGATTGTGCACCAGGATCCCTCTCACAATTACTGCTATTGAGCCACGTTCCACCTATTCTATATCTGTCCATTTGGTTTTTCCTGCCTGTGTGTAAAGCCTTTCTTTTGTCAGATGCTAGGAGAAATAGAGAAGGCCAGACAGAGTCTGGATTGCAACTACAGCCTCTTAAGGCATGACAGCCAGAAGGATAAGCTTGAAAAAGCAAATAAATACAAGGAGAAAACACAGTCACCACACCATCGTACAATCAGACGGGGGGGATAGGAATGGATTTTCTCCAATTCTTCTCGTTTGTTAAGTCACTGGACCGACTGGACAATTTTAAACAAGCCAGCTTGGTACCAGTG